ACCCAGCCACTGTACTTCATAATTTGTAGCTTAGTGTGAACCCAGACCAATGATGGCTTATGCAGTAAGCTAATTAAACAAACTCAGCTCAGAAGCTAACCATATCGATGCCTGCCCCGCTTCAATTTGGGCTGGGTTTTTTTCTATAACCAGAGATTATACCGTTGAAGTTTGTGAGCTTATTAATTTCTTTGTTCTAAATCTCATTACTTGTCTGATCCTTGACTACAGAAACAAGAGGCTTCAAAGAAAATAGTGATTACATTAAAAAAGCCAAACTAAAATCCAATTGAGGCATCTATTAACTGGGCTAATTCTCTCTTCCTTTCTGAATAAATACTGGTAATACTAGTTAATAAGCCAATTACATTCACAATAAAGAATCTTTAACTGGCTGCCTTTTACATGCTCTAAGGTTCATAGCTACTCTCTATTTTTGGAATATCCTGTATCACCTATATATGAAAATTTGGTAGTATTGCTTGGCGTGGTAAGACCGTCTTGAGGAAAAACGGCATCATACAGATAATCAGAGTTGGAAGGGACCTTGTAGGTTATCTAGTCCAACCCCACCCCCCACCCCCGCCTAAGCAGGAGACCCTACACCATTTCTGACAGATGGCAGTCCAATCTCTTTTTGAAGGTCTGAAGTGATGGCGCTCCCACAACTTCCAAGGGCAAGCTGTTCCATTGGTTGATTGTTCTCACCGTCAGAAAGTTTCTCCTTGTTTCCAGGTTGAATCTCTCCTTGTTCAGTTTCCATCCATTATTCCTTGTCTGGCCTACAGGTGCTTTAGAAAATAGCTTGACCCCTTCCTCCCTGTGGCAGCCCCTCAAATATTGGAACACTGCTATCATGTCTCCCCTGGTCCTTCTCTTTACTAGACTAGCCATGCCCAGTTCCTGTAACCATTCTTCTTCGTATGTTTTAGCTTCCAGTCCCCTAATCACCCTGGTTGCTCTTCTCTGCGCTTTTTCTAGAGCCTCATGCCTGTCTTCAACTTCAGCTAGAGCAAAGCACTGAGATGTGTTTTAACACAGGATCCCCATCATTCAAAATCAGGTTGTCAGATGGATTAGGGTCAAGTTACATTGAGCTGTTTAGTATAGAAAGGTTTAACAAAGCTAACTGATGAAGGTCCTAGATAAATAGAGTTCTTGGCCGGCAGGTGGCACCAAACACATTAGTGCTGAGAACTGGTAGGAACCCTTGAGCATTGTAAAGAAAATGTGTCCAATGAACCCAGTTCATCTTCTCATTCCAGATGTAATATCAGACATTTAAAAGTCCGTTGATATGAAAGCTCACATCCAACTTCAGCGCAGCATTTAAGATTGTATTATGCTTCCAAAATCTACTAGTGTATACAAAGCCCATCCATACCATGTCTGCATATGTTTTTCAGTCTGTGCGTAGTACTTTTCAGTATGTCAGCATGTACCTGGTGCTGGTTCATTAATGTTCATGTTCCAGATATAGTAGATTGTGTTTGGCATTCCAAGGCTTGGGGCCTTTCTGAACTGAAGAACATATGAATTGAGGAGAGAAATATTCTTTCTGGTGCAGGCTTTGTTCCCGTTATCATCTAGAGTTTTCTTCTTGTACGTTTCTACACCCTGATTGTGAGACCGCAGACTTGTGTCCCTGATGAGTGCAACACTAATTAGGTTAGCCAGAGGAAGCCCCTTAAAAGGTATATCCACTTGCTGAGGTATGTCTCAGAACTTCGGAGAAGGGGGCCTTTTAATGTATGTTTCCCTCAAAATTTGCCTTGTTTCACATACTTTTTGTCTTGCAGGAAACAACCAAAACTCTTTTTTCTAGGCAAGCTCTTTTGAGTGAGGCTTTTTTATCCACTTGTAATTGTTTCACCTTTGGATTTATTTTTATTGTCATTTATTTTTACAACCTATGATTTGAAAGATATTCTAATGAGGATAGTGAAGTTATAGTAATAACTACATAGCAATAGCACTTAGACTTATATATCGCTTCACAGTGCTTTAGAGCCCTCTCTAAGCCGTTTACAGAGTCAGCCTATTTGCTCCAACAGTCTGGATCCTCATTTTACCTGCCTCAGAAGGCTGGAAGGCTGAGTCAACCTTGAGCCATTCAGAATTGAACAGCCTGCATTCTAACCACTGCACCACCATGGCTCCATGCAATATTTTGATGGAAAGTTAACAAAAACTGATGGTTTTTCCCCCCAGTTAATTCAGTTAATTTCCCCAGATAGTTCCTTCTAGCAGTAAAGATGTCAGGATTTTGTAACCATTGGTCTCTAATATCTTTAAGGGGTTATGGTATATTTTAGTTCAACAGATGCCCCATAATTTATAAATATATTCTTTCTGGACTCTTACTAAATCATTTGCTATTAATCTTGGCTAAAATATGTGCCAACAGCAGAAACTATATAACTTTGATCCTAAGTCACAAATTGAAATACCTTGGTTCAATGTCATGAACTTTCTTGCATATTTCAAGTCGTAATGAGCAGGGCATCCTATAAATATAATTTATAAATGAATAAAACAGCAAATTGTGAGTGTGTAAGATTGCAATAGTACTTGTCTGTGTTTGTTTATTTGCATAGAAACAACAAGATAGATGAGTCATTAGCAATTGCAATGTTTATGTTTGCCAAATTCAAAGTAGATTTCACAGTTAGAAATACTGATTCTAACACGAAGTCTTTAAGACCCTTGCCTAGCAGGTAGCTCCCAAAATGTATATAGATAGTCCTGGACTCATAACTGTTTAGCAACTGTTCAAAGTTACAACGGCACTGAAAAAAATGACTTATCATTTTTTACACGTATGACTGTTGCAGTCTCCCCATGATCATGTGATCAAAATTTGGATGGCAACTGATACTTATTTATGATATTTATATACTTGTTGAGCTGTGGTGATGCAGTGGTTAGAGTGCAGTTCTGCAGGCTACTTCTGCTGATTGCCAGCTGCCTGCAGTTTGGCAGATCAAATCCCACCAGGTTCAAGGTTGACTCAGCCTTCCATCCTTCTGAGGTGGGTAAATGAGGACCCAGATTGCTGGGGGCAATAGGCTGACTCTGTAAACCGCTTAGAGAGGACTGTGAAGCACTGTGAAGCGGAATATAAATCTAAGAGCTATTGCTATTGCTATGATGGTTGCAGTATCCTGGGGTATGTGATCACATTTGCGATTTTTGGACAAGCAAGTCAGTGGGAAAGCCAGATTCATTTAACAACTGTATTAATAACTTAACAACTGCAGTGATTCACTTAACAACTGTGGCAAGACAGGTCATAAAATGGGTCAAAATTCACTTAACAAATGTCTCATTTAGCAAGACAAATTTTGGGCTCGGTTGCAGGCCAAGGAGTACCTGTATTGTATTGATAAGAAACAGGATTCACACAAAGAACTATTGTTTTTCATCTTCTGTTCTGAAAGATCCATACCATTACATACACTAATTCAACTGCCAAATATGAAAAACACTGGTCTACACTGACTTAGCCTCATTTTTCCATTCTCCCTAACAGGAAAACAACAGCCTAGGTCAATCCTTCCTTCAACATTAGCCCCTGACCCCTCTCACCTACCTGCCTCGCTAAGCTAGTGAAAACTGCTTTATTGCATTTCATGGGAGACCTGTGAGCATTTGCTCATGAGGCATGCATGGGCATGTGCACTGTCTCTAACAAAAGTAGTCTCACCACTTGCTATTTCTCAATGGAGGCTGTTTAAAAGATTTCTGCCTTGGTTTTTCCTGTATTTTTCCACTCTGCTTTCTCAGAGCTCTTCTCATGCTGTTTTTGTAATTTCGTACAAATACATTGTGCCGGGTGGGGGGGAATCATGTCTCCAATGTAATACTTGATACTTTTGTAACTTCTTTATCATTTTATAAGACATGGTTAGTGCCTATTTGCTGAATTCTGATAGCACTGAGATGATAGGAAATTGAGCTCGCTGTGGTTTTGGATTGTCCTATAATGTATAAACCATAATATGACTTCATTGTCATATTACCTGTAAGACTCTAAGCTGGATTCTTTGTTCTTTCTCAAAATCTACACATTTGATGATATTGTGCATCTGCTTCAGGTGGTAAAAGAAAATACCTGCTCTCAAACATTTGCTTTATGCAATTTTTTTTTCTTATGTCTCAAATTTTAAGAATCAATTTGCAAATGGGTTCTTGGGTAGTTGCTGATTTGCTTCCATTTCCTACTTGTCTCCATTACAAAGTCTACAAAACATTTCAGTGCTCTCAGCTAAAGTGTTAGCAAATCGGAATAGAAAATCTGACTATTTACTATCTAATTCACACTCTCTGGGTTCTCACAGAATAAAGGGGCACTGGAACAAACCATCTACAGCATTTTGCCCTGATATGTGATGTATCCACTGAGGAGGTCCACCTACACCTAAGGCATTGTCAGGGTGGAATCTTTTCACTGAGATTTTCCAGAGGAAATGTTTTAAAGTCCTTTATTTAACACACTCTTAGAACTGGAATTGGTTGGATTGCTAAATGACAGAAATACACATCAAGATGGGTCTCTTCCACAGCAATGTCCTCAAACTCGGTTCAGTTGTTTTTGATTCCAGGAAAAAAAGAAATCCGTTTGCTTATATGGCATTGGAGAACATGATTGCTGGCATAGGAGCTAAACAAATTCCAATTCCATGTTCACAATGATCCCCCTAGTCTGAGATAATGGGCAGATTTAACTTCTTTCCATAGATATACCTGTATACTCATAGAATTGAAATGGAACCCTGAAAATTTTTCTCTCTCTTTGTATGAGCTTGATCCTTTATCAGCACAGTCCTCCTGAATCTGTGTAGCTTTTCTTTTGTCCATATTTGACTACGTTCGAACACCAGGACCTGGGTTGGACATAACAGATGGTACAGGAAGATGATGTTCACGCTGAATAATTTCTGCATACTTGCAGTCTCAAGATTTCTCCTTCCTGTTCCCTCCATCTTTTTATCCTGCAGGGATTATTGAAGATTATAAACCTCCTTTCTTTGACTTGGTTCCAGTCGACCCCAGCTTTGAAGACATGAAAAAAGTGGTTTGCATTGACCAGCAGACACCCACCATTCCAAATCGGATGTTCTCTGACCCGGTGAGTGATGCAGTCTGTTAGAAAGATAACTTTTAGAGTTTTATTTTGTTATTTAACAGGAAGGGGTTCCTGTTGTTTCAAAAAAGGATGCTTGTTGAGCTAGGATTGTTGTGTGGCCATCAACTTCCAAGTAGGGGCAGAAACAAAAAAGGCATCTTGTACCATGCCAGCATAGGAATCAAGCTTCCCAACTAGATCTATTGAACAGTTTGGGGAGATAGAGGCCCCTTCCATGCAGGAGTGAAGGGAAGCTATGCCCCTGTCCCAATGATGTCATGTATCTTCTAGCTATCTTGGAAAGATGAGATGATTTGCCCCTCAGCTAATTCACTCCCCTTCTTCTCTGAAAGAGCTGCTCTGATTATTATGTTTAGCACTTGAACCAAAGCAGTGTTCCGTAGCCCAAGCAAGTTTAAAATGCGTAGACTTCAACTCCCAGAATTCCTCAGCCAACATGCCGACTGGGGGATTCTAGGAGTTGGAAATCCACACATTTTAAAATTGTCACGGTTGAGAAACGTTGCTCTACAGCTGCATTGCCCTACAAGGATTCCCACTCTCGCTATACAAGGGCTGCCATGCCTTGGTGTTCTTCCCCTAGGAAAATTCCAGGCTGCCCTATCACAATCTGGCCCTATTGGGATACTTAACTATTTAATTTATTTATTAATCACATTTGTGTGGCAACCTAGCTCACAAAAAGTGACTTTTGACAGCCCACAACATGGATGTCAAACTTGTGATATCACATTGTGGTCATGTCACATATTGTCACGTGATGCACCGTGACTTTTTCCCCCTTCGCTAAACTGGTGGTAGGCGTGGCCAGGGTGTGACGCATCCAACTCACAGGCCACAGATTTGACACCCTTAGTCTATAACAATCAACAAAATAGGAAATATTTTAAAAAACAATCATTATAAAAATATCAAAAGTCATTATTTAAAAAAAACCCACTATAAAAGTTAAATATACAAAGCATACAAAGTGAGTAAAAAAAAATCAATCATGGTGGAGACATCTAGGAATATTTCCAATTCCCTCATGTTTTACTTATTGTGGACAGAAATGAGGATTGAGACTATTAGCGCATCAGTTGTTTCCCATTCTTTAAGCTATCTCATCGTCTGCATGAGAGACTGCTTTATAAGGTTGTTTCAAAAATTATGAGGTGGATTTGAGAGGCAAACACTCTGCAGGGCAACATCTGAAGAAATAATATTTCTGGCCGTTCAGATTGCCAGTCTTCCACTTGAAGATTTATCATATAGCTTTGGGTCTTCTAGTTAGTCAGAAGACACAGGGCCCATATGTGTCTTGTCCTTTCCAGTTCTCTATCCAACCATCATTTTCCATCTTTCCCCATTTTCTTTGTTACAATAACCAGTATTCTATGACTGTAGAGCATCTGTCTAAGATAGGGCTGAATGGATGAAGCAAAGAATAGGAAAGAAAATCCGTGATTTACTCTCTGGTATCAAGTCAGGCCAATGGCTGACTTGATACCTGGCAAATCTGCTGCAGGACGTACTTGACTTTTATAAGACAGGGAAGCACAGATTGTGTTGTAAATTATGACTTCAGTTCCCTGGGAGAGAATCTTGGCATTAGTTCAGGGAAAGGAAAAAAAAAAAGAATGCAAAGATAAGACAAGCAGAAAAAATTGTGGGCAGCGGCTGCTGGAATCCCAGAAGCTAGAGGGAGTTTGACCAAGACCTTGGGTGGTCAGGAGATAAAATGCCTTAGAATAAACCATGCATGCAAACAAGCGGACGATAAGGCACTGTTTGTTGCTTTACAGACCACCAAATTGAAGATTCCTTCATGTAAACAAGGGTGTATGCCCCAATTAGCAATTGAATTTGAATGGGGCCATAATCTTAATTAAGCAAGGGATGAATGAAGGGCCAGAATCATTGAGTCTGAACACCCTTTCATTCCTTGGACAGCTCCATTCTCTACTTTATCCCATTAAGAAAGCTTTTATTTCTCATTCTCATTTTTCATGGCATTTTTTTCCTTCACAAAGATCTAAATGGTAAATATGTCCCCTAAACTGAATTAGGTAGTGAGATAGCAAATAGCTCAAGATCACTTGATGAGCTTCCTGATTGAGGTGGATTTCCTTGGGCCAACCATCTCTGTGGCTGATCCCACTAGGGCAGGGGTATCAAACTCGTGGTGTCATAGAGGCGTCACGTGATGTATCGTGACTTTTTCCCCCTTCGCTAAACTGGGGGGTGGGCATGGCCAGCACGTGATGCATCCACCCCGCGGCCCACGAGTTTGACACCCCTGAACTAGAGGGTTCAATAGTGTTTTTTCTATACAAGTAGTCTTCAACTTATGACCACAACTTAGCCCAACATTTCTATTGCTAAATGAGTCAGTTGTTAAGTTAATTTTGCCCATTTTATGACCTGTTTTGCCACAGTTGTTAAGTGAATCACTGCAGCAGTTAAGTTAGTAAAACTGTTGTTAAGTAAATCTGGCTTCCCCACTGCCTTTGCTTGTCAGAAGGTCACAAAAAGTGATCGTACGGCCCCGGGACACCGGAACCATCGTAAGTATGAGTCAGTTGCCAGGCATCTGAATTTTGATCACGTGACCATGGAGATGCTACAAAGGTCATTAAGTGTGAAAAACGGTCATGTCACTTTTTCAGTGTCGTTGTGACTTCAAACGGTCACTAAATGAACTGTTGTAAGTCAAGGACCACCCGTACTTTATCTGGAAGGAAGACAGGGGAACATAGATTGGAGTGAAGCATTCTGAATTATGAAACTCTTCTCAGACCCTCATTGCCAGGTACCAGAAGCCTTGAGACACAAATAATTTATCCTTAATACTAGAGCCATAAGGTAATGGCTTTAGCGTATGTTAGCCAACATTGTACCATGCCTCCTGATTATGTAACTTTTTCCTATAGCATGGGAAATTCTGTAATGTCATCACACAAGCTATATGCCGAGACAACACTTTTAGAGCCGACATTTGCGTGCTTAATGAAGCAACAGAATAACTTTGCTGCACAACCCAGGAAGAAAAACAAATGCAAATAGTCCCAGCCATTTTTGCTGATCATACTCTAAAGTTACAACAAATAGGGATGAAGTCATTCACCTTGTCCTTTGCCAAAGACTGAACATTTCTAGTGATGGAGTACCCATCACAAGATACACAAATACATTTATCTTGGCTAAATTATTGCAAGATACTTCACAAAGGCTGCCTTGGAAGACCACTCAGAAGGTTTGGCTGGTCCAAACTGGGACAATGCAAGCAGTTAAAGGCATACCATTGACTGATGTAGCATAGAGAGTGGAGGCGTCTGCAGGTTCACCGTTGAAAAAAACCTGGATGCCTTTGCAGATTACCCATCCCTTTGGAGCAGGCACTTGTCGGCTAAGTTTTAACCCTTTTTAGTGCCTAAGTAGAACAGTTCCTTTCCTTCTTTTGTCCATCTGTCTCCTGTGTCTGCTCATCTCTCTGTTTTGCTCCTCCCTTCTTCTTCGTTTCTTTCCCAGCTCAGCTACCCTTTTCTCTTTCCTTTCCTTGTTCTGTTTTTTTTTAATTGTAGGGGTGGGTTTTTTGAAGAAAGGATGTGTCTGTGCACAAGCATATACAGTGACTATTTAAAGTTACAACAGCACTGAAAAATATGACTTATGGCAGTTTTCTACACTTACGACCATTGCAGCCTCCCCATGGTCACGTGATCAAAATTTGGACACTTGACAACTGACTCATATTTATGTCGGTTGCAGTGTCCCAGCCGGGGTCCTGTGATCACCTTTTGTGACCTTCTGACTGTTCTGACCAAGGCTTCTTGCGACACCAACAAACACATATAAAATCCAAAACTCTTTTATTTTAGTTCAATGGCTGTGAATTATCGTCATTCACAGCCTGGAATGAGTCTTAACCAGTTATCATTAGTCCCAGGGACGTCTGCCAAAGTTCTTCGCAAGATGTCAGATAAGAACGCACCTTATCTTACTTGAAGTGCTGCCAATGACTAAAGTCCCAATTAGTCTTTCCAAAACCAAACGGAGAACAAATTCACCACGGAGCTTTCAGAGTCCAAACCGATCAGAGCGAATGACTTTGCTTCCTGCAGAGGTTTTCCTACCTTTGCTCCTCCTTTATGTCTTACGGGAGGGGGCAATCATCTCCAAGCCTTACTCCCAAGTCGCCCCTTTTGTCTTAGCTTCTCTTGCTTTCTGGCCACTCTACACATACGTGCACTCCCTTTCTTCCTCTGCCTCACTGCTGCCAGATTCTGGAGGCTCCAGAGTAAGCACATAACTCCCAGATGGTCCTAGCTCCATCTCTGCATCGGACCCAGGACCCTCATCTGAGTCCTCCCCAGAATCCCAGACTGGTCCCTGTTCTTCCCCACTGTCCGATTCTGCTGCCATCTGCACAGGCTGCCGGCGAACCACAACACTGACAAGCAAAGTCAATGGGGAAGCCAGATTCATTTAACAACCGTGGTACTAACTTAACAACTGCAGGGATTCACTTAACAACTGTGACAAGGAAGGTCATAAAATGGAGCAAAACTCTTTTAACAACTGCCTCAGTAGTCGAAATTTTGGGCTCAATTGTGGTTGTAAGTTGAGGACTACCTTTATATGTACTTGTGTTTGTGTACACGAGGTTGATTTTGGTGTAATTGGCCATAGACAGATGGGCCTCAATTTATTTTATAAATGGATATCATATTTTATAGGCATTTCATTCTAATTCATTCTACTTGCGTTTATTATTTTTTTGTCCCTGTCCTTCATGGACAGAAGCATATCCCACCCTCATATTTATTTGGGAGAGTGGGCCTTGCACAGGACTTTCTCTCTCTCTCTCTCTCTCTCTCTCTGTCTGTCTGCTCTTTAAGAAGCAGTCATCTTAAAATTCAGGGTTGCCTTTCTGTTTCAAAGATATGATATTTCACTATTGATGCCTTTCTGATGTCCTCTCTTCGGGGGCCATGACTGTTGCTAGGACACCTCTCTCCCAGACTGTATGATTGACACACAAGCCCTTCTTCCGCTTTTCTGTAATGTCAGACTGGCTTGGTACTTGCAAAAGGAGGGAGGAGGGTTTGCATCTGTTACTGCCCCCCTCAGGTGATCTGCTGTACTCAGAACACAATCTCTGAATGGCAGTTTATGGAGAGCCTGCAAAACACCATGCTTAGTAGGTTTTATTCCGACGTTCATTTCTAAGTGTACATAGCTTCCTGTTTACAACAAACACCTCCAGAAATCCCTGTTCCATCAGATAAATTGAGGGTTATCTCTACATTCTGTCTCCTAGCATATCCTATAGTCTGGAGACATTATATTCTCAAATGCATTCATCCTCAGAAGGAAATGATAAATTTTCAGGGTAGTTTTAGCTCTCAGCTGAAATGAACCTTTCATTTCCTTGGCTTTTGTTTTCCCTTGGGGGGGGGGGGGGGGGGTGTTGCTTGCTAGTTGCAGATGTAGCAACGATAGAGTTGAACGAAGCCAACTAGGTGGCCTTGTGCCCAGATATTCTGCCTCAGCTTTAAGCAGAAGGCAATGGCAAACCACTTTTGAAAAATCTTGCCAAGGGGGGAGGGGGAAACTGCAGGGACTTGTCCAATCAGCTACCAGCAGCCAACATTGAGTTGAAGGCACCCCTCCCTCCAAAAAAACCTCCTGCTTAGAAGCTTTTTTTATTTATTTATATCCCACCTTTATTACTTTTATAAATAACTCAAGGTGGCAAACATACATAATACTCCTATTTTCCTCACAGCAACAAACCTGTGAGGTGGGTTGGGCTGAGAGAGTGTGACTGGCCCAAGGTCACCCAGCTGACTTTCATGCCTAAGACAGAACTAGAATTCACAGTCTCCTGGTTTGTAGTTTGGTGTTTTAACCACTAGACAGACTGACTCTCAAGTACATTGCAAAGCCATATTGAGGGAAAGAATAAAAAAGAATTTTATAGACCTAAGGTCTATTCTATATTATCGGGTGTCAGAAATGGAAATGGGCCAAGTTTGACGCTATCAGAGTAGGAGAGAGATTTTCATATTTGATTCTGCGTTAGTAATGGCACCCCAATTGGTTCAGTTGCAGTTTTGCTGCAGAGATCACCATGTCAATAAAACCATTTATATTGTACCTTACCAAACTTCAGCCTCCCCTATCCCCATTCTTTAACATGTGTCTATCCCATTCTTTGGCTGCTGCAATTCATATGCATTGATCAGATAGGACATCTAGGAATAATTCTGTGAACTCCAGTGCTAAAATTCTTTCTTCTAAATTTCAAACAGAATACCAACAGAATCACTGGTGCTACAACAAACTTTCCAAGCTCTTAAAAATCAAGTTACTCAAACTGAGTAACTTTTTTGGGCAGATCACCCTAGTAGACCATACCCCTACTGGACATGAGATCCAGATATCAGTGCAACCTGAATCAAAGACTGGTCCACTTATGGCAGTCAAAAGAGCTGAGGTACAGGTAATCCTCAACTTACAACCACAATGGAGCTCAAAATTTCTGTTGCTAAATGAGACAGTTGTCAAGTGATTTTTGCCCCAACGACCTTTCTTGCCATAACTGTTAAGTGAATCACTGCAATTTTTAGTAACACGGTTATTAAGTGAATCTGGCTTCCCCATTGACTTTTGCTGGTCAGAAGGCCACAAAAGCTGGCCACATGACCCCAGGACACAAAAGCTGTCATACATATGAGTCAGTTGCCAAGCGCCTGAATTTTGACCATGTGGATGCTGCAACAATCATAAGCATGAAAAATGATAATACGTCACTTTTTTCAGTGCCGCTGTAAATTTGAATGGTCACTAAATGAACTGTTATGAGGACTATCTGTATTCCCACCAAAGAAAGTTCTCTCTGATCTGAATAAGAGTATAAACTAAGCATTTGGTTTTCATTGTGTGTTGACATTACAGCTGTCCTTGGTGCTATAGACTTCTGAATTGTTCCAAAAGTCAGACATTGAGAATATGACTATGTCACTCCTAGATGTCATAAATCTAGAAAATTTCACCATCCAACTCCAAAGCTAGCTCTGACTGAAATTCTGCCAGGCAATAAGAAACGACATGAAAGTGTTAATTCCTTAATTTATCCTTGATCTATCCTTATAGACCCTAAATCTGATTGTGGCACCGAGTTCAACAAATACCATCCCTGACTTCTCACATCATATTGACAAGCAGTCCTTATGCTTAAAAACAGACAGTCCATCCTTTAAAACATATAAGAAAAGTGTCATAGTCCCACCCTTGTAAGACTAGTTGTCTCAGCATGATGTAGAATCACAACATCACAGCCATAGTTAAACTGTGTCAGGCTTTTGCTCAGGTGAATATGCATGCAAGATTCTAGTTGTGTAGAATTTTGGAAAATGTGTTAAGTCTAGGTTTGGATTCTAACTACCCCTTTTCTTTCCCTCACCACCACCCCTCACCTTTCAGGCTTTATCTTCCCTAGCTAAGATCATGAAAGAATGCTGGTTCCAGAGTCCCCCAGCAAGACTCACAGCTCTGAGGATTAAAAAGACACTGAAAAAACTCAGCAACTCCTTCCACAAACCCAAACACTCTCCTAACTTCTAGGAGCAGAGATTGGATTTCTGTCTCCTTGGCTCAAAGGAAGTTCAAGGTCATCCCTTCAAAGTTTCCTGCTGGTCCTGGCCTCTGTCTGTGGCTTCAATAGACCTCTTTTGAAGCTTGACCAAGAGGATTTGGACTAGAGCTCTATAGCTCAAAGTGACCCTCTGCAAGGAAGTTTCACAGAACAGATGACAGCTTCTGGAATCCTTAATTTGTTCCTCTAGCAACAAAAGGGAGGAGGGGCCTACCCATGTCTTGCAGAATGTACATTAATATAAATACTCCCTGGATCTGTAACCTGACGCCAGACCGTCTCGCCACCAAAAATCCTGAAAAATGGGAGGGATCCCATTTGCAAAGAACACAGCTGCTATGCCCAAAGGGGTGGCTGCCTTTAAAACGCCAGTTAAGGATCATTTGCAAAGGTAGCGTTTAGATTGAATGTATAAAATCTGTTCGTGCCTCTAGCTGGGTGTGCATGCATGTGCATGCATGTGTGCAGAGGAGCCATTTCAAAAGTGCCTACAATGGTTTAAAGGGATAGGCACAACTATGCAAGCCTTTATACTAGACAAATCTGAGACCACTATGGGGATATGGCAGTTTTTTCTATCTGTATGTGAACATGGAAAGCTGTCTAGATGGTCAACGTGATATTGCTTTGCTTGTATGTAGTCTTGATTTTTTTTATATAAGCCAGAATTTTAGCAACACAAGGCTTCAAAATGACTTTCCATCCTGTAACTGATCTTAGAACCGGTCCTGACTAGCCCTGTCGTATAATCCCCGAACATGGTCAGTAGAAACAGGGTTTAGCAACCATGCTGAATAGAGCTGGCTTTGCTCTCTATGGATGGAAGACAACTGCTGGTAGTGAATGAACACACACACACACACACACACACACACACACAAGTCAGGGAATTGCACAGCAGATGTCCAAATGAAGTCAGAGACACTGACATGAATTTGTAGTTTTATATAAATAAATATACTGTATTTTACATCTATATTTGCAGCAAACAAGATAGTCAGACTAACAGGAGTATCATGAAGTAAATCACAGGGCATACAGGAGACACAGAAGAAAAAGGCGGGAAAACAAACTCCCCCTTTACATCCACAGTATTCCATCACAGCATAGATTGCCTCACGCAGGAGCCAGAGCTCTCCAACCAATCTACTAGAACTGTGTGTTCTGACTTATTGCATGACCACACTGCTCCAGCTATTAAATTTAAATACCTTAGCACACACATATATGATGCAATTTTTTTCTGCATTTGAGCCCCACAAGAATTAAGGATCACCAACACTAATGTTCCGCCACTGCAGTTTTTCTTAGGAGCCCTCAAAGGTTTTAGGCAATTCAGAACCAAGGTGAATGTCCAGGGGCTGCATTTGCATACAACTACATCAATTGAATTTTGAGAAATTTCAGTATGCAGATGCAATATAAGGCAAAAATCTAACCAAATAAAATGATGGGAATTTCACTCTATTGATTTTAAGATGGGGGTGAGAGGAATGGGTCCTATCTAAAAGATAAGTTGGATCAAACATTACTCTTTCCACCTGATGTTATTGCATTGCATGGATGAGTTACAATAGCTGTAAGCTTCACAAACCCTGTGCACAAATAGAGTTCAATAGTTCCACTAAAACTGAGATGAGTAGATTGCTTCTTGGTATGCTGGATACATCTACAAGTGAACAAATTGCAAAGACCAAGGCCTGTCCTTATAAAATTACTTTGAATAAAAGGGTGGAAGGTGGAAAAAGTTTTCAACAGTTTAATCAGGCCCAAGTCTGAACTTCTGAATAGCCTATAACAAGATAAGACAAAACATTAACAGGAAAGCAATGGGGAAGGCCTGTACATTCACAGTGTTGTGTTAACTTCTCCAAGGAATTAGCTTTCTATGCCATAGAAATGTATATCAGCATATAATAATATATGCAGGACAGGTGAGTAGAACTGAGTGAAAAACACATAACCTCATTTCATCAAAAGCCTCAAAATTGCTTTGAGATCATTACTAATTTGCACAGAAATTATTTTTGTATTTATTAAACATGCTGGGGGTGGGTGGGGGGTGGAATAAGCAGCCTTTTGTTGTTGTTTGAAAAAAAGTTCCAAAATACCTGAGTCCAGACAAAGATTCTGTAATGGGGAGAAGGATGAGAAGCACAAATTAACGAAAGACGACAAAGAGTTTCAGGGGGGGAAACAACACTGTTTTTTTAAAGCTACATCTCCACTCAGAGACCACTTAAGTCCCATTAGGACTAACAGGAGTCAAGTGTTCTAAATGAACTCCTAGATGGCAAGTAATAATTAAACTATGCCTTTTCTTTCAGCTCATGTGAACTAGTTTTAAAAAAGGAGGAAAAATGTATTTGTTGAGGGATACTGATATGTCCAAACAATCAGCTGAATTGGAATCTGAATCCAGAATTTCCTCTATCAAACATCGGCTTGTTGAATTTTTTTTGACATTTGTCATCATATACTTTAATAAGGCTGATTGAAAATATATCTATGATACTGGGAAGTTAAGTCTCGTTGATTTTCAGAAAATTGCATGCTTAATGCTTTTTGGCTTTTTAGATGCACATAGTATTTTATGTATAACCTAAAAATGTCAGGAATAAAACATACAGTAATAAAAAGGGCTTTGCAGATATCATATACTAATCAAAGGCAGGATTAGGTGCAGGATGCTTGTCAAATGCATGGTTTGTCTTGGGTTCAATCCTGATCTCTTAGATGAAGGTGGGAACGTTAATTAATTCTCTGCAACCAAGAAAGAGCCACTGCTAGTTAATTTGTGGAATACTGAACTAGATAGCTTATGTCCGTAAGAGCTCAACAGCTGCCTGATTTCATAGCCAATTGCTTGCTGATTGCAAACTGCTGTTTATCCAGGATAGATGAGTATCCAAAATATTGCGGCTGGCTCCATGTTTTTAATCTAGGAAGTTCTGAATTACATGTAGCACAGGCTGGAATTTTTATCATGTTATTTGCCCTTTAAGAACCCAATCAATTTTCCAGCTTTGAAAATGGATGTTGGACAAAGCTGCAAAACAGCACATTGATAAGCTAAGAAAACACTATGTTAGATGCATCTGCTATTCTAAACCATCATCTCAGCTTATTTGCTAGCAAAATGGTGCCCCCACAGCCCTCCAATTGGCACAGAAGCTGAGCTGTATATTTATTTTAATCAGAAGCTTGCCCATGTGAATCAGTAACATATGTAGTAATAAGTCTATATATCCAAACAGCTCTGATCAAAAGTAATTAAGCATAAATCATTCCATGTGCTGGAAAGAAGCCCTCATGTGCAGACTCTAAACTCAGGGACAAGTCTCAGTCTAAGCTAAATCTGGATTTGATTTTTTTAAAAACCCTCTGGTCTCCATAGCCACTGACACTGAGAGCAGAAATGTGCAAGTTTGCAGGAAGAAAAATTTAGGTTAACTAGGCAGACAGGTACAATTTAGCATGAGGATCACATCATGTATGTTTCTCTCATGCTTACGGGATCATAATTAGGAGCCATAATTTCTCCTTAGAGAATAGATGGCTTTTTTTCCTCAGAAATTCCTGTTTTCTTTGCATGCCTATCCTGACATCTGACTGTTGAAGGGCCAATGGATATACACTGCCAAAGTGCTGTCAATATTGTTCATATAGTTTCTCACTGTTTACATACTCTCTTCACACTGTAAATATTAGATAACACTGAAAATAATTAGGCATTCATAGTTAGATTTACAACTCAACTGTGAATGAGCCCCGTGCACAACTCTTATACAACGTCCATAATTTCCCAGTGAATATGTGAAGTTTTGGCATTCATGTAATGTACGCACTTGTGTCTCTGTTCAGATGCTGATTAATATTGAAAGAAAGACAGATGGACCCTTACAGCTGATAATACACAAATAGTTGTTCTAGTCTTGCGTAACTACATTAACACAAGATATAACTTTAGTTCAGGGTCAGACAAAGTGGTACCCACCCAAGCCCTCTGTTCCACCTGATTTTTATGCTTTTTTAAATTTTAAAAAATATTAGAGAATAGGAAACAGGCATGCTGCAATGCAAAGCAAAATGCTCTAGCACCATATTAATTTGGAGCAATGCCTTTGGGTCCCATAAAGGCCCACTGGGAGAGTAGAAAGTACACTGGGAGTAGGGAGTTTGTTCTCTGGCTAAATGGGCATTTGGGGGACTACCCTTGCTCATTGCAGCAGCCTTTATCAAAACAGGCAAGTCCGACAGGGGGCCCTTTGGCGAGTAACACTCATCATGTGCTCTCAACATTATGAATGCACCCCAAGGCTGAGTCCAGCTCCCTACTTGGGTAAGGGAACCTCAGTCTGTCTGAAGCCCCATAGCAGAGAAAGCCCATACACAGTGGTTTCATTGTCTCCCCGCAGGGAACCTTGCCAGGGGCCCTGTCATACTTCTCGTGCAAACTTTGATCTTCCAGCATTTGTGTACCCTGAATGATTTCAGTGATAGTTGGCTGTTCTTTTATGGGCCTTTTCAGTCATCCAATAAACTTCTGGTTTTCCTTAATCCAGTAAAGCTGTAATTGCATTTGCTTGGGAATAAATCTCCTTGAACTCCGCAACCCTAACGCTGAGAAAACGAACAGGCTGTAAACCCACTCCAAGATATGATATGACTGCTGCGTGTTTTATTAAAAAATCTTTTCTGTTCAGCTTTGAGTTTAAAGGGGCAAATAGACTTACTTATCAAGAACAAATCCCACCGCTATAACTAGTGCTTACATTTGAGTTGAGGGGGATAAGACTGTCATATGGATACTTTGTTGTTCCATACAAAAAGCTGCAGGGATTTATATCCCTCCCCACCACCACCCTTTTTTTCCCCCTATAATAAAATCTGGAAGAAACTGTGAAATCCTAAGATGAAAAATAAAGATGAGGCATCAGGAAAGAAACCTGTTACTGTGGCAATGCTGAACACTTTTGTAATTAGCACTAGCAGAAAAAACGAAGAAGCAATATGGAGGTCTCATTACTAATGAGCTACGATGATGCTTGTTTTCTAAACTAGCCCCAGCTTTCCCTGCCTTGCCTTATCTTCACTTCTAAAACTAGAAACTTATAGAATGACATTGGCCTTTACAACACAAGCTCTATTGTTTTGTTTTAGAATGCAAGAAAGTAGTGGGACTCTAATTGTTGCAAACTTTAAATCCTAGTGATTGCTATCCAATCAAATGGTGAGGATGCTGGCCGCTTCAATTCAGCAACATCTGGATGGCTCCACTTTGCTCTATTATTATTAATAGACATAGTCTAAATGTGCTGTTTAATTTACAGGATAGGCCTTTTCTGATGCAGCATGAGTATTTACAGATTTTATGGGAAGGGAATAAATAATATGTACTGCATGTACGTTTTGATTAAGCAAAAAATATGGCTTGAAGGCCATATTCAAGAGCAGATTCCATTTTGATTAAGCAGATCGACTCTTCAGCCACTGGAAATCAATCTCATTGTTTAAACAAGACTATAGTACAGGCACAAAATATCCTGCTTGACCCAAGCTTTTATCAGCCAAACTACTACACTTAGAATTCCAGGAGTTTCCTGTTGATAGCCGCAACAAATTCAACCCCTCCATTTTTTTAAAAAAGAAATCAACCGAGACAGAGATGAAAGAAGCACATAGGCCAAAGATTTTGTTGAAATGACTCTGGTATAAATCTATGATAAAAATCTGAATGTGCAATTACATTTCCTGGAATATGTTATTTCCCCACTTCTTTCTCACTGATTCCAGTAATATTGCAAAATATTATAGTGTACATGAACTGAAAGTGACCTATTAGGTAATTGTTAGACTTAAAAGCCCTTTACCAAGGAAATATGTTGCGTGCCTTGGCTTGTTAACAAGGAGGGCAACAAGGACCAGCCCAATGATAAAACTGTCAAAATCCCCCTTTCACATCTCTTGTTCAAGAGAACAGACATTATCTTTAGACAATTAAAAGTGACCTTGGGAGTTCAATTCAACTGTACAATACATAAATACATACAATACATAAATACATGGATCTGAGAAGTTCCAAATTATTCCCAGGCCAAACACATTTGCTAAGTTGCTTTCTAAGCCTGGGCAGTCTGCAATTCCCAGAATTCCCAGGCAGCATAGCTATTGTTGAAAATGTAAGAGGTGAAGATTACATGCCAGTATCGGAGTGGAAATTGATACCTCCCACTGTCGAAGTGTCACCTCCCTCTCAAAGTCACATCACTGTATGCAAAAGCACATGTAGGCTGCTAGCAACAACTATCTTCTAGAAGTGTCATCCCCAAACCTGGGGCGCTCCAGAAACATTAGACTCTGCCTGAAATTCCTATGTACCATGACAACTGGAAATTATAACAACTGAAGTCCATCACATCTGCAGGTAATTGTTGGGAAAAGCAAGGTAAATTAGATATTTTTTCTATCAAGATAGAAAATCTATTAGTTTCTCAACCAGAAAAGAAACTGAGACAGGAGATGATTAAATCTGATCACTAAAGTAATATTACTGTTTGATATAGTCCTTTACAAGTCTATTTACTAGTCGGTCCCCATGACTTGGGTGGAGATTTCTCCTGGACTAAGGATAGATAAAAAGTGCAGTTGGAAACTGAGCTTGGGAATTATTCACATGTATCTTTCTAGTAGCATTTGATCTTGCGGAAGCTTGTTGCGACATTTAGAATTTTGAAGATATGTCATCAGTCTATTTACAAAATCATTTTTTGTATGATGGTTGCTCACAAAATCGTTACCTCAACTTATATTTTGGCTGGCACTCAACATTTGTATTGTTTAAGAGTGCTAATGTGGTGCCCACTTGAATTCCAGAGGCATCCTTGGCAATAGAAATAATCCTGGAGACCAACATACCACCTGACTATATCATTCAGGAAGACCTGAAGGCACATCAGTACTAGGCTCTATATTCTGTTAAATGTTTTCGTAACTGGGGTCACTTTTTTTGTCCAAGGCAATAGAACAAGCAATATATACAATTAGATGCACTTAGATACCCTTAGGATTTGCAATGATGTCAAACTTCTCCAAATCCTACTGATCCAGAACCCAATTTAGAATCCTCAATGGCTCTCGTGTCCCTTCTTGCATCTGCTGAAGGAACAATAGCTCCCAATTTTCCATCTTATTTTCCCCTCTGCACATGGATTAGAGAACAAACAAGAGTATATAATATCACTAAGAGAGTAAAAGAATTGAAATAAAAATGGGTTGGTCACATAGCAAGAAGGCAGGTGGCAGGTGGACCAAGGCAGTCAAAGAATGGATCCCATTTGATTACAAAGTATCCACAAAAGAGATCTAAAACAAGATTGGATCAATAACATCAGTACTGGGGGACCAACTGGCAAAAGAAAGCTCAGGACTATATAGATTGGAAACATGCGGAAGAAGCTTTCATACTGCAGTGGATAGAATGATGATGATGATGGTGGTGGTGATGATGAAGATGATTTCCCACTCTTCTCCAGAATTACATCAAAACTCCCAATACTAAGCCAGAGATGAGAAATCACAACCAACAAGGAAGGATGTCGGATTGTTTCTCAACGTGCTAGCTCTTCTGAAGGAAATAGGTCCAGGGTGAATGATGCATTTGCTTAAATAGGGAAGCCTGAATTAAATAGATTAAAAAGAAGTTTCTCCACATATTAATTTGTAAATCTTAAACCAGTATAAGTCTAAGATAATAGTCAATTTGAAAAGGTAGGTGTGTGTGTGCGTGTGTGTGTGTGTGACCTGGGATCCTCTGACATCAGCACATATTCGTTTGAAAGGCTAGCCTCTCATAGCGCTTGTGTTTAAACTTCACGCTATGGCGCAAAGCAACATGATTTGTTTTCTTTTGGATCCATGTGCTTATATGAATCCAAATGCATCTTATACGATAAGCAAACACTGAAATAGCAAAACATGTGAACTGTCTAAATTGACTTCTCACTTACAGAACAAGCTGTTTTCCTAAAAAAAATTGGAGGCGAGGGTAAGAGACCTGGTTGATGTGATTACTTGAAATATTTTCCCCAAATTCTCTGGTCTTTCTTCACATAGCATGCTTCTTTTTCAGGCATCCCTGGTCTGCAACCCCAGAACATCTCCTGGCAAGAGTCATACAGCTAGACAGGCTCTCTGACTTAAGCGTTGGGGCTCTGGTGTAACTCTGTCCAAATGCACGCTGACTACAAATTCCACAAGTGAATCATGAGCTGAGCTTTCAGAAAGAATTTAAGATAGGGATTTTCTAGAAGGCAACTGCTCCAACAGCACATCTGCTTCCCAAGGGACCAGCAGTAGCACAATATACAGAAATTAACGTGGAACTCCAGGTCTCAAAAAGTCAGCGTGCATTTGGACAGAGCAAATGCATTTTCAGGGCTAACCATATGGATATATGCATTTCTGAGGAGCCCCCAGTATGGCTTGAAAGGACTCAAAGACCCATGAGCTCTCCCCAGTTTACCCTCCTGACTTTAGCACAACTCCCTGATCAGTTCAAATGTTGAGTATCTGAAAATAGCTCTTCAGAGTTAGGGATATCCAATGTCACTGTGTCTGCATTTTACACACCATCATGAAGCACTAAACCACTGGCTTCTGAATCCCACTAACACGATTTTAATTTTATGGTGATTCTAATTTTATTTGAAATGAAATTATTTTCAAGCCCATAAATTAATGGTAAGAAAATTTATTTACACAAACAGTGTCTTTATCAATTAACATATCAGTTAACATAGAGACAACAATTACATGCTACCTTGGATACATTTAAACATATGACAAACTACCTATTTTTTGCAAAAATTACACATATATAGCATCCTATCTTTTTCTTTTGCATGTAACAAGAGCCTGATATTCTGCGTTGAGGTTTATGCACCATACTAAATTGTGGTTTACTTTAACAATTGCTTATTAAATAAACTACAGTGACTGAATTCATTCATTAGACTTAACAAATAATTCCAACAGAAGAGTGCGTATATGTAGCTCAGGGTTCAACTGCGGAGTTCTTGGTGCTCTCTGAGTTTGGTTGTTTGCTTACAGACATTGTATTAAACAAGGAACAAACTCCACACGCACTAACACTGATGATGTTATCTAGTCAGGTCAACATCTGCAAGCACATAGCCAAACTCAAAAAAGCACTAAGGACTCCACAAAAACAAATGAAGTTTATGGCTCAGCTCCATGGTGATCCCAGCCTATTTCTATAAGCAAACACATTTTTTCCCCCTGTAGTTGAATTCAAATGCAACCATTAAACAGAACCAAATCATCTATCAAATACAATAATAAATATGTTTGCTGGAGGTTTCAATTTTTGGTTAACATTTTCCTATCCAGGGAGTGCACTATTTCATTATTTCTTGACTCCTATCTAGTGCATGCAATATTTCAATATTTCCTGATCCAAAACACAAAGTTCTTCACACGT